GGGGTGTTGCTTAAACTTAAACTTGATTCTTGTTCCTCGCCAATGCGGCAAAAATATAGTTTCTCAAGAATAATAAAATTAACAAGTCGTGTGTTTATGAAAATACCACCGATATGGCGAGAGACCATGTTGGTTGAAATCATATCATAATCATAAAATGATCTATTCCTTTGTTAATAATAATATAGAAAAAAGACTGATCAACAACCCTTACTAAATATTATTTTTATAATTTGTCCAAAGATTTTTTCAAAATTTCAAACAAATAAATAATTCATTTTAAAACTTCAAAATCCTCGTACTGAACTCATTCAGGATTAAATCCTTTACTTGTAAAAAGGAAATGTGTAGATCATAATAAACATTAAATGGGCATTGTTACTAGTTATTATATAAGGACTTGGACTTGAAGTATAACAAAAATAAAAATAACAACCGAACATGATAATAATAATATCATTATAATTATTAGAATAATCATAATATTAGGTGGTTATCCGAAAAAGCCAGGAGTTGGCGGCAAAGCTTACAGCATCGTATGGGGATGTAACAGCGGCAGCCTGTGGCATTGGGGGCGGTCTCAGCACAGCGGTGGGCGGGCCCTGAGAGCTGCCAGGGTGGGCCTACAGACACAGAAACTGCCAATCAACATTCAGCCCTTCAACGATGGCAAAGGTAGGTAGGTAGGTAGGTAAGTAGGTAGGTAGGTAGGTTGGTAGGTAGAAAGCCATGCCAATCAACTCAACATGAGGCCTGGACAAGGCTTCAATACAAACAATGATTCCATCACACAGAAGAAAAAAAATAATGCATTTAGAAAAAACAAAGAAAAAAAAACACACAGGAGAACAAACGACGCTTGGCTTTAAATAATGCATGTGCGCTTTTTTACAATCCTTATACAATCCTTATACAATCCTTATACAATCCTTATACAATCCTTATACAATCCTTAAACTCGATCGAGAAGGGTCAAGTCAAAGAAAGTACGATAATTTAGGTCATTTCTGCATCTTTATAAAGACTCAAATATGTTTTTGGAATGATTTCGTGCGTAAGGCTAGTGCCATTGACAAATAATAGTATCAGTATATCAGTATTGATAATCCTTTCGTTAGATCTTTTTTTTTTTTTTTAATAGAACAACAAATTACATTGACTCCAATTCTAGACGTACCGTTGGAACAATCAGAACATTAAATTTCATAAAGTGGAAAGAGAAAAAAAAATCTTATAAGAACTATTCTCTTTAGATAGAAAGAAAAAAATAATAAAATAAACGAAAAATGACCAATTCAGTTAGAACAGTCGATAGAATAAGCTTGAAATGTGACTTTACATAACCCACGGAATTAACAAATGTGAAATACATTTAAGAATCTAAAAAAAAAAAAAAACAACCAATGGATAAAATTCCATGAATATCTTTTAGAAATGTGTACAGATATATAATATAAAACACCGATGGAGCGAGTGTGTGGGTGGAGAGGTAGGTGTAGAGCCCTAACTTTCGGAGGGCAAAGACAACTTCAGACTTCAGTGCAAACAATAAATAATGAATACACTGTACCCACTTCAACCTGGTCATCTGACCAAAGGAGTCAATCAAATGAACAGC